GTAGGTTATCTGAACACTTTCCGTGGAAATAGTGATAAAGCAGTGAGAGGCTCACAACATATTGTCTGTGGGAAAGAGGTTGTAGGGTGGAAAATAATGGATCCCTTACAAGACTCCATAAACACTTTTGATGGTTGGAAAGTGTAGACTGGCCAGCTCCTGCCCATATATGGCAGCAGTACTCCATTTTCAGCCTGATCTAGTTCTTGTAAAGCTTGAGAATAGCAGGAAGAATCGGGTATTTCCTGGAGCAATACAGGGCACTGACTACTTTTTCAGTATCTTTAGTGATGCATCATATGTAAGCATTCCAACTGAGGTCTGGGGTGAGCTTAAGTCCCAATAGATGCTCAAGGCACAGGGCCTATTTGTGAGAAAACCCATTCATTGTGATAGATGCAAATTCAGTTTCCACTTAGAGATGATAGAACATTACTAATTTGGTTTTTGAGTCACTGAATGTGATCAGCCAGTTGTTTTTTCCCATTGAGCTGTTAGAACTCAGTCAGAGGAGAGATCAGCTGCCAGACTGATCATCTAGAATTTTGAAGGTGCACCTATATACCATAGATATTAACAAAAAAATGGTGCTAATAAAGAAAGTATACAAAAACATATATGTATAAGCTTACCCTAATTTTTAAGCCTGGAAAAGGACAGTTTTTAATTTCTATTATAGATTTTATTCCCTCATACGAGGGTTAGTAAAAAATTATCTGTACTTTCACCATAGCATAAATAAAATACTTCAAAATTTGATGTAGTCTGCCAAAGTAACATTATTTTTATGATAAATGATAAATTGATTAAAATGTAAAATAAACCACATTTGAGTTATCTCCCTTGTAATTTCATTCAATGAAATGCAGTTGAAAAACTGAAGGCTGACTAGAATGCATGATGTGACACTAAGAACTGAACACACATTGGATTAGCAAATTAATCATTCCAAAAGCTAAGCAAGGTTCTGAGAAATAGAGAAATTTCATTAGAATCAAGGAAAGAGCACTGGATTCTATATGATATCCATCCTCTTACATGGCAGTTAATGTTGAATAATTTCCAAATGAATGTAGAAGAAACTAGTGGCAGCAGAAATGTGGTTCCACCCAATGCAAGAGAGCAGAGTCTATCCTGCTTTTTAACCCTTAGCTGGAGGAAATAGATTCATGCGTTTTCCAAGGGCATTAACACAAACGAGTATTAAGCAGGAATTGAACCCAGTACACTAAATTCACTTTCCAATAAGTTACACTAAACATTACATTTTTCATTTCACCCCTAAGCAAGGCAATAAAGACACTAAGATGCAAGGGTTTATTCAGTGTTAATAAATATGAGAAAATGAAAAACATTATTAAGGAAAGAAAACAAAAAATGAAATATATTAAAAACCAGGAATGTTCTTTAATATGCCTGATTAAATATTATACAGTGAAAATTTTGAGAAGCCAATCTACATTATACAGTGAAAATTTCAGATCAAAATTCAGTTATTAATAAAGTGAAAATAGATGAACTCTTTAATCTTTCTCTGACTTTCCAGGACTGAATTATTTCCCTTTGTTTTGTCTTCCTCTCTCCATGAGGTAGTCAGACATTTTCCTGTTACGGTTCGCTACCGGAAGAGATATCTAGTAGAATAAAGCTTCACTCAAGCTATACTGATTCAGCCTTTCTTTCACTTCCACTCAATCCATTTTCATAACAGAAGCCAATCTACATTATACAGTGAAGATTTCAGATCAAAATTCAGTTATTTATAAAGACACCAACTTATTGATTTATGCTCGTAACATGCATTCTTTAGTGTAATGGAGAGAACATGATTTTGAGAAGGCAATTTACATTCTCAAGAACAAAAATATCTCTTTCAGAATCTACTGAATTTAATCATAATTCCATAACTACATCTCTGAAGGATTCCTTTGACATGATAGAACAGTAAGCACAGATAAATTCAACATGTAAACCTACCTTAGGGTTGAAAATTGGTTTACATGGCAGACAGAGAGTAAGTGAGTGCATTGCTTGTCAACACAAGATAAAGTATATTGTTGCAAAATATTTGCTAACGTTTGCAAGATAATTGTAACTTAAGAGTCTGACCAATCAAGTTCATGATTTCTGATAAGTTATAACAAGAGATAAAGTTCCTTCAAGAGATACTCATGCAATATGATTTCTCAAAGGAATAAGCCGAATCCATGAAATCATTTTGTAATTGGTCACACACACACACAAGAACACATACAAAAAATGCATCTATATATGATATTTGGTTAGTTAATTTAACAACATATCAAACCTAGTTGCATTATTTAATGAGAAATACACAATAGATCTTTTTTTTAAATTTCAACCAACAATAACACTGTTTGCTCAATAGGATAGGTCTATTGTAGAACTGTAGTATCGCACTCAATTTGAAAGTTGGGGTTTCACATGATAAACAATGTCACATGAAATATTATTTTCTAAATCATTACCCTTTTTTGAGGAAACATATGGGAAAGAGGTTACAGGGTGGAAAATAATTCATCACCCACAAGGATGCATAATTGTTTTTGAACTCAGTTAAGACAGAACAAAGAGGATTGGCAGCAATAGCCAAGATATAGCAGCAATAATCTGACTCTTGCATAGATAGAGAATGGCAGAAGTTATGGTGCAGTACAAGGAACTAACCATTCTTTGAACATCTTTAACAATAGTACATATATATGAGTTCAATTTGAGGTTTGGAGTGAGCTTGAGTCCCAATAGACATTTGAGACAAATATTCTCATTGACATAGTGTCTAACAGCTTGTGGAAGATGGGTAAGTAATGACACTTGGAAACAAGCATAATCATAATCATGATCCTAGGCTTATATTTAATCTCCTGTTTCATATCTCTGTGCATGTGTTATCCTCATATCTGCTTCTGGAGATGATGGTGATGTCATGATATCACACCTCTCCCCTCCTTTGAAAAAAGATGCATGTCTTAATACCTCCCACTTAAAAGGGAAAAGAAAAATGGTGGGGGAAGACACAGACCTCATATACTCAATCCAACACATAATTATCAAAACTCTTTGGTGATTGTTAACAGAGTTGTGGTTTGTACCAAACTTATGGAATAGCTAGTGGTTGCTCTGTTTAGCCTTATTGCTCTATGCTGCTTCTTTGTATTTTATCAGTTACATTCCTTCTGTTGGAGGCCTCCACTGGCATGGGTCTCTCATCAGCTGACTCTCCTGTCAATCCACCTTGCACCTGCTTGAAGAATGATTATTTTTCTGTGATTCAGTAACTGCCATGCTTTGCAGTCACCATAGTGCCCTTTGTCTGAAATTACCTTGTATGCTTGTAGATCACAAGTCAAGGACAGTTTGTTGTACTTGGTTATACTGTCACCAGCAAGCAACAAAGACATTTTGAGCATGGCATCTTTAATCTGCGTATGTCTTTATCTTAGCTTTGCTACTGGCGTCATTTGCAGTCTATCAGAAATGGACAGGAAGTAAAGTTTGGAGATGAGGAATATTCAATATGTCTATGTTCAATCTTCTTTCAAATGAAGGCCTCAAAAGGGGATAAGGCTACATTGCTCTATACTCGCAGACAAAGTCTGGTAGCTGTGTTTTCCATTTCCATCTGCTTTCGTTCACTTCAGATCAAAGGAGCATAGTTTTTCCATGGTGAAAACCCAACCAGATGGTAAAGTCCTTCAATATCTGTCCTTGTGGGGAAAATTGTGAAAATTGCCTTCCTCGGAAACGCCTGCGAATCTGTGCGATGTGCAAACTCCGGTTTGCTCAACAGTAAAAGGAACCAAAATGGCGGCACCCATGTTTTATGCCAGGCAGTCTCAGACAGTTAACGCAAAATCTCATTGTCTCATCATTCGCATGCAAATCGTGGTCGGTACTTGGCTGTATAAAGCAGGCGCGTTTTTGTTTCTGATCACTGTTTTTTTTTTTTTTTTTTTTTTGCTCGTAAGAAGGTTGGACGTGTGGCACTGTTTTTGTCGATTACCGTCCTTGCAGATTTTTTTTCCCTATCTGCTACTATCAGTTGAGTTGTTGTGTTACCACCACAGAGGCCTAGTGACTATTTTGACTATCAGCATGTCAGGCAAATATGGGATCAAGGATAACTACTTTTGCTGATATTGAAAACATCAGAAAAAACAACTATATATGTCAGTTGCTACCAATATATATTCACCCAAACTGAAATGCTCCAAGAAATGCAGAGCAATTACTGTCCATGTGGCAGGGGTTAATGATGTCAGACAAAGAGGTACATATCATGTTGGCATAGGGGTTGATGCTTGGCATGAAATGCACGCATGAACAGTTCTTTCTACCATTTTGTCAATGCCTGGAACCATACCTTCTCTTGGATTAGCTGTTTCATCTTGACAGCCCCGTAATGAGTGTGGAGTGATGATGGGGCTAGCAGGTGATGGTCATGAAAAATAATCCCATCTGAGACAGATTGCTCATCCCCAACGTGAAAAAAACTGGATAAGTCCGAGTCTTGCCAATTGGTGGACTGGATTGTTCGTATGAGCTCTTGAAGTAGGACATCCCGCTGTGTTGCGGTCCTGACCTATTCCAGTGTCAAGGCCTTTGGGACCATATATTCTACCACTTATTGCATGTATGTTTCAGCTGCATTGTCTCCCTCTGGTGGCCTGAATAGGTGCCGATTGATATAGTCTGCTGGATTTGTGTCACCTCATCCAGGGTGGATTGTGCTCATATGGCATGAGCGGAAGTCTTCACTACTCTATGCAGAATGTGACTGGCCTCTGTTTTTTAACAATACGAAAAAGTAGCTTGTGGTCCATTATTATATGAAACTTCAGTCCAGAGGGGGTGGGGATTCAAACCTTTCCCAAGGGTAACTGTGTGTAAGTGAATATAATGAACCAAATGTAACTAGAACTTGGCTTTCCAATTAACAGTTACAAATCATTATCCTTTACACCACCCACACATCCAAGCTTACAGCACCAGTTATTCCCAAGTGGCCACCCAGCTAGGTACTGATCAGGGTCAGCCTTGCTTAACTTTAATGATTGTATGGGAAGTAGTGTTTCAATGTGATGTAAGCCATAGTTTCCTTAAGATAATCCAGCAACAGTATCAGTACAATGGTGACCTCTGAATGTTATTGTTCAGTTTTGCTCTTCATATGAATCTTAGAGAAGCTCACCAAATGGAAAGATTTTTTATTAGGCCTGATTTATAATTTCTTACAAACTTTTAAAAACTTTAGTACAGCCTATTGGAATATTCAACTTTTCTTGGTGTTCAATAATAAATAAATTTCTGTCTGTGTTGTATTTGACAGCGGGGGGCTGGAATCTGTGAAGTATTCCTAAAAGTGTTGAGGATGGCTGGTGCATGGTGACATTTCCAAGTGTCTACTTGTATTTCTGTACTTGGTAACACCAAACCCAGTATCACCCCAGTTTGTACTGATGCTTTTTTCATTACTCACTTTTGCCATAAGTAGGACTAAATAACTGCACTAACAATAAACAAGTGAAACAGGAACACTATAGCAAATGGAATAAATACCAAATTTTTGTTAAACACACACACATGCACACACACACACATAAACACACACACAATTTTTCTTGGACAGTTTTTGTGTCTTGAGAGTTAACATACTTGAGTAAATAAAGAACAAATTTTCTATACAGAATGGAAGTGGTTGCAAAATTGGCAAAGCCATTTTTTTGAATAAAAGTTATTTTTAAAAATAAATCCAATGTTATATTCCAAATTTCTTTCACCATTTTTGTAAAATTCTCAGTTCCTCATGGTTGGCAGGATAGGGATTAGTAGGGTTAGCAAAAACACAAAACTTGCCAAGGACTGGAAGTCATGAAGAGCCATGATTGCCCACGTCTGAAAGGGTCATAGCATAAAAAAACAACACATATTTGCAAATGATGAGTAAATAACAAGCAGTTTTATAAATTTTATTCCTGGAGATGAAAAATTTTATAATCAACTGCAAACATATTTTTTTTAAAAATTCCTTGTAAAAAACAGTTCCTTAATTGCAAGCATATTCTGAAAAATTATTGTTGTTTTTTTTTTTGCCTTTTAATAAACACATGAAACTACCCTACAAATCTTATAGAGGGATCAGAACTTTATTCATACAAGAATAATACATAGATCTTCATCTCTGCAAATAAATGTCAATTTCATTTTAATAAATTCACTCCAAGCAAGGCAATGATGCCACTGAGATGCAAGGGGGGCTACTGGATGAGGAAAAGACTTTAGAAGGAACCAGAAGCCCAAGATAAATTTCACAGTCTAAGCAGAGACATTTAACCAAATTCTAAATAGAAAACAAGGAATAATTCTTTAGTCCTGTTAAAAACATTTAAGAGAAGTGTGAACCAAATGATAGGTGGATCACCTAGTGTCGAGAAAAAAAAAATAACAAAAATTTCAGAGTTTAGGCAGAGATGATAGAAATATAGAGTAGAATTTAGATGAAACTTGAAACCGAAACCTTAATAAGAAACAATGGAAAAACCTCTACTCCTGTTTTTGAAGAGTGTGAACCAAATGACAGGTGAATCTGCTTTGATGATGAAAAGAATGAATAAAGAAATAGTAAAAATTTCATAGTTTAGGTGGCAACATTACGTATAGAGTTGAAGAAAAATTTAGAAAGAACTGGAATCGAAATCCTAAACGAAAAACAAGTGAAAAAGCCTCAACTTCTGTTCAAATGACCAGGGAGGAATGTAAATCGGGTAGTTTTTCAACTGTGCTGAGTCTGGCCTGCATTTATGCTGTTACTGCTTAAAATGACAATTTTCCTCTTTTCATTTACTTTTTCTCTCTTCATCCAAATCCATATTACCAATATACAGCGTGTCTATATCATTCTAAGAACTCTTATATCATGAACTACAAATGGTAGCAGGATTGAATTGGTACCATTTAAAAGCTAAAAGTGTCAAATTTATTTTTTTTGCTAATTTAATTTTAATTTAACTAATTAAAATTAATTTTTAACACCAATCTGCTCATCAGATAGGCCAGATGTTCTGGACAGACTAATGTTCTGGCAATGGCCACCTAGGTCTCCCAACCTCATGCCATGTAACTTCTTCCTCTGGGGGTATGTGAAAGGCCTTGTGTACATACTTCACCTTCCCAGAGACATGGATGATCCGAAGATACAAATAATTGAAGTCTCGACAATGCTATGCTTGATCACGTTTAGCTAGAATTGGCTTATCATTTGGATGTGTGTTGTGTAACCTGTGACACTCACATTGAACACTTGTAAAAACTTGTATGGAAACGGGAAAATATTAGCGTTCAGGAAATATAAATTGTTTTGATATCCTCAATAGTTATCAAGATACACAGTGTCATAACGTGACACAGACTTTTGAAATACTCTGTATAATAGTAATAATAATAATATTAATAAGAATTAAGTTAAATAAAATCAGAAGGAAAAAAATGGGGTTCTATGTGTAGGGTTGAATCAAGGGCATGTTTTTGGCAGGGATGAAAATGTATGGCCAGTAGACTATATTCTATTAAGTTTTTAATTTAGTATATGCTGCAATATCTCCCATCAGGGTAAAAATGATTGGAAATTTAACAGACCTAACTAATACACTTTTTTGTTTTGCAACTAGTTTCAAATAACTTTTTCTCTCAGTTCCCATACACAACTGCTAAGTTAAAACAATCCTTTGCCTGATGACAAGTATTCAAACATATTTGGTGATAAATACAGAAGATACTTGAGAAAATATACACTAAATAATTCACTGATCAGTTTGGGTCAGCGATTATTTATATGAGCAAAAGTTGGTTACAAGACAAAATATACAAAAATACTTACAGTATTTGATGGCATATAAGGCACACTTTTTTTACTAAAAATATCTTTTAAAATTCCCCTGCGTCTTATATGCCTTATGTAGGTTTAAAATTTACAATAGTCAGCCGAGGTTAGCTACCAGGCAATTCTTATTAGCTTAAACTTAAACATGAAGGAGCAATGGAAGACATGGATGGCAATGCTTGATCATGACCTTAGACTTACAGGAAGAATAAAAGTCCCAGCATTGCACAAATTTGCGAATGGGTGAAGCAAGCTTGGGATAATATTAGACCAGAAATTGTTGTGAAATCTTTTAAAAAGTGTGGCATTAGCAATGCTCTCAATGGAATGGATGATGATGCATTATTTAACAACAATGATAGTACTGAAAATGAGTATCAGAGTTTTGATAACGAAGACAATGAAATTTATGGATTTGAAAATGAATAACATTTTAATTCTAACTGTACTGTTTTGCTCAATTGTAATAACTGCTTGATTTTTATTTTGTTTTCTTACCTTTTATGTGCTAGTATACTTTTTTTCTTATTATTTTTTGTGTAATAGTAATCATGGCTTGTTTAACCAAAATAATACCTCATATATATAGCCTAGGCTGTACCATTTACTAATAATTTCACTAATTTTGTTAATTACTAATATTTTTTTGATTTTCCCTGCTGAAATTGGGGTGTGTCTTATACACCTGTGTGTTTTATATGCTGTAAAATACTTAAATAAAATATGTAAAAAAAAAACAACAAAATAAAAAAATTCAGACAAGACAAAGAAAACAAATATTAGCAAACTTTCCTGTTTCTCTTCTACCAAAACTCTCCAGATTACTCACTTTTTTCCTTCATATCCTAACATGCTTTGTCCAAATCCCTCTGTCCAACCCATCTTATACATTTTTTCTTCTTTTTGCCTAATTTACCCCAAGCAAGGCAGTAAAGCGACAAGGGGTTTCTGGGTGTGAAACAATTAGAAAACAGAAAACATTATGAAGTAGCAATAAAAATAGAAGAGTAATCAGGAAGACAATAGATAGTGACTGACATTGCATTTAAATTTTTGAAGTTCAACATTGACTGAAAAGAATGGAGCTGGAAGAGAGTTCCACAAGTGAGAAGTGCGAGATAAGAAACTGTTAGCATAGAACATACAGTTACATCTAGCCAATTCAACTTTATATCAATGAAACCTTGTTGCCACTTTTGTACTCCACTTAAATTAATAAAGTCTAGTTACCATATTTATTTATGGAAAAAGCACTTGAAAGCAACTTTAGCTGATGGGAAAGTAACTGAAACTGAGATACCAGGTAAATACCAATAATATTGCTTAATTCTTCTTTGGATTTTATCAAGGAACTAGATAAACAGCAGGAATAGCTGAACATATGTTACCATATGTAGCAAAAATATCCTTAGCATGAACAAAGGGTAAACTTATATATATGTAAGATAGATTCTGGAGCTGACCTAGCAATGGACTCAATGTAGTTTTTCAACTTTATATCAGCCGAGAATGTTATTCCAAAAAGGTGCAACAGGCCACTCTCCGGGAGATGAGCAGAAAAGTGTCTCTGAGATGATTAACAGAGAGCAATTTAGTTTTAGAGGCATTAAAATTAACAAGCCATATTTTACTCCAGTTAACAATGGACTGTAGGTCATTTGGTTTCCAAATATCTCGTCTCTCTCCTTTTTCATACATGATTGCTAAGTTGAAACAATATTTTGCACAATTACAAGTGTTTGAACATTTTTGGTGAAAAATATGCAAGGTAGCTTGGAAAATCTATGCTAAATAATTCACTGATCACCAATTTTGGTCAGTCATTAATATACCTCTACTATTATGTGCATATATTTCAAAAATTAATTAAGATGTCAAATATATATATTATAAATATATTAATATTAATTATGTTTACCTTTAACATTTTGGGTGTATATTTTGGTTAGCATTGTAATACAAACCTAATTAAGACATCAAATATTTGTCCAATTACATTACTTTTGCTTACTGTTGACATTTATATATATATATATATATATATATATATATAGATATAGATATTATATTATCATAAAATGATAAATGTAATCAAAATTGATTTAAAACATCAAACATTATTCTAATTACATTGATTTTCTTTATATTTAGCATTTTTTATTTTGGTGTATATTTTTGTTCAGCAATATAATAAAAATC